GGCCAAGAAATCAAACCAGTGTCTGCCTGACATCTGCCAAGACAAACCATGCTGTAGAGGGTCTTTAGATCACTTCTGCTCGTTACTTTGTTCTTTAATGATATCTAGCTACTTATCCAATGTGCTCTGTTATTTCAGAAGAGAAATCCTCCATGTCTGAACTGCATTTAATAGTGATATGGGGGTGGGGACAGAGAATTTTAACACCTTTTTGCTATCTTTGTCATTATTTTATATGATCACAGTGGCAAGGTTGAATTATATATGAAATCTCTCCTGTATTCAGGTTCCCAAAGACAAATGCTATATAAATAATATACTAGTTTAAGAGTATAAAGGAGAAGAGAAAGAAGTGACAATCTATTCAAAAAGAATTCAGCTGTATTTTTAGCTCTGAAACTTACAGGATGATAGTTTTGTAAAGAAAGACAGTTGGCATCCACAGTTGCTCCATTTCCTAAAATGACAGGTACTTTCAACCTACAGAATGGGTGTTTCTGAAATTTAGGGAGTTTATGCCTCTGCCATCCAAACTATATTGATAGATGTAGCTGAATTAAGGGATAAAAACCTTTTATGATTTAGATGGGAAGTGGCAGTGTCTGTTCTGTAGACTACAATTTATCAACAGCTCCATGAGAAGATAATCTTCACAAAGGCAAAGTCCCAAGAGTTCAAATGGACATGAGCAGTGCTGTACCTCCTCCCAGTACCATTTCTGATAGAGCTTTTGTTAAAGTACTGTTGCTTTGTTAAAAGAACTGCTTCTACCAAATCCAGTCTTTCTAAGTGATAAAATATGTTCCAAGACCCAGTGATATTTGCTTAGATGAACAAAATGTGGACTTACAGGAGGAGGTTTTCTACAATATATGAAGAAGCAACACCATGTGAGCTGTGTGGCATCCTTGAAACTGTGGTGTACCAGATCTGGTCTTAGTCATTCAGGACTGAACTAGCTTTAGAAAGTTAACTGCCTATAAATTTTAACTCGATGAGGCATCCAATAATTGTACACTTGCAAAAGAAATTTTGTCTTCAAACCCATGCTTTTATCTTTTTGAGGGTTATATAAATTAATGCACCAACTGCTTGTGGGGTGAAGCAGAGGTTAGTGGGAGACTGGAGAGATGTAAAATGAGAAAGTGTGAGGAGGAAAAAATAAGGGTTTTTTGTAGATTTTTAATGTTAACAATACCTCATTCAGTAATTACAGTAGTGATTAAAGTTGCCCTAAGACATAGTTCCACTATCTGATCAGTCTGGGCCTTTGAGAAGTGGAAGTCACTAACAGAAATTGCTTCAATAAAGAATGGAAATAGTACTTATTTTTTAAAAATCAGAAAAATTTCTCTATAATTTAATGTAGCGTATGATCTCATTTTGGATTGGGATTGCTCCTGTATCCCAACATCAGTCATGCAGAGGAGGCCTGTTAGAATTCAGCTGGCACCTTCTTAAATAGAAAGCAAATTTTATCATGTGCCACTCAGCAGGAGCAGATATTTGGTTTTTCTTTTTGGGAGGGTAATTTCTTTGTTAGCATGAGCCCAAGCTGCTTTTGTTTTCCATTAAATTCTTTTAAATCTGTTCTGCTTAGGTTTAAATCATGAATAAAGGGTGTACTTTGCTGAATTCATATGGTGTTGCCTCCAGAGCACTAGCAATTGGAAGGTGGTTGATTTTTAAATTACTGATTTGTTATTATGGTGAAAGAAGCTCCTATTTGCCTTCTCTAAAAGCTTAACCTGAGATTATTTCTCTGATACTTAACAATTCAGTAAAAGTTTTCTTTTTCAGATAGAGTTTAAATTATATATATTGAAGTACTTTTACAGCAGTTATTTTTACCATTAATGTTTTTAGTTTGGAAAAATGTTCACTGAAACAGGTAATCTTTGCAGACATGTGGACTGTCATTTTTCTCCCTTTCAAACCTTATTTGAGGAATCCAGAATAAACCTTGAGGTGTAGAACAAATATATATTCAAACATACATTCGTAAGACCAAACATATCTGGCTTTAAACTTTTCCTGATGATAAACTCATTACCAGGTCTTTATATATAAAGTTAACGCAGAAAACTCCCTGTGTTAAACTTAAAATATGTCTGAAGTATTTGTATTACAGGGTTTTTTTTGAGTGTTTGTTATAAACCTGTTCCACAGTCCAAGAAAGGACTGGTCTACAGCATGGTTTGACCAGCCTTGATTCTGCCCAGAAAACACTTGGCTTAATAAATTTGCTAGAGATCTGGGTAGTAATAAAAGTTTCATAGAGGTAAAGCTTTATGTTATGAGTATGTTATGAGTATGGTATGAGTAGAGCTAGAGCCAGCATGGGCCTGATTGCAAGGAGGGTAGTGCAAGAGTGGAGTAAGGGTATAAATGCTGAGCAACAAGAACAGAATTCAGCCAAGCCAGTGAAGCTTTCATGAAACTGAAGGTACAGTAGCTTGGGTTACTGGAAGAAATTGAATCTGGGGCCAGGAAGACTACAAGCCAAGAGATGAACTCATCCAGAGTGTCAGGCTTCAGCAGTATTCACAAGCAATGAGTATCAAGCAGGGAGTTGGTGGCTTTGAGAAATGGCTTTGAAAGTGCTTTTGGCATGAGATTAGGAAGGATCCACTTGACCTAAATCCATTTTAGAACACGAACTTAGAGTCAGCCTGGAGGTGCAGTAAATATAAACTTTACAATTCAACAAGTTAAAATAACTTTGCACTTGTGTCACCTCCAGAAGCTAAACTTGCATGTTTTTCCTTGGTGCACTTGGGGAAGGGAGAAGGATGTAATACAAGAGGCAGTAAGGCTGGTAGTAAAAACAACCTGCTGAGATATCAGAAAGGTGTTGGCCACACATCAAAAACCTACTGGATTTCAAAGAGAGGGAAAGCCATAAAGTGTTTTTGACTTGGTGTTTATCTAAAGCAATTGCCAGCAATAATTAGTGGAGAATGCAATCTTAGCAAGTACTATTCAGGTTTTCTTGCTTCAAACCACGTTTTCCTAGTTAAGTCTTAGGAACTACGTTGTGCTTTCATGTCAGGAATCAAAACATAGCTAAAATAATGAAGTCATTCTAAACTTTGCAAAGCAGGCTTTGTGATGTTTCACATACTAAATTCAGGCAACCAGCAGAAAAATGTCTATAAGCCATTCTTGGGGATGAATGGGGCAAGTTTTTAAGAATATCTTGCAAAGAAAAGCATTTGATGACCTCCTTTGTCTTTATTAAAGCATAAAGAAGGCCCAAAAGGGAGCATTAAGCTTTTCCATAGTAAGGGCTGCATCTGAACAGAGATTTGTCTTATAGATTTCTTCAGATTTCCAGCCAAGTGGTTTAGCTTATCTGTGATAAGTCTAGTGAGCAGATAAAGGAATAAAAAAAAAAAACCCCAAACCTAGGACAGGATTTGGTGTTGAGTTTGCTTCCCAGAGCTGGTGCCATATCATCTGCACTTTGGATCTATTGCCATTTGTGGAACTTGCTAAAAAAGTTCTACCTCTGTTTCTTCTCTTATAAATAAAACCTCTCTTTGGCCATGAAGCAGCTGTTTGGACTACCTGCTTTTCCACAACAGCTGCTGTGATTTTTGAGTCAACCAAAGATCAGCAGAAGGCTTCTTTCTGGGTGCTGTAGGCAGGGAATGGTACAGAGTGGATATCATTCAGACCCTGTTCCAGGAGCCTTAAATGTTCTAAATGAAGCAAGTACATTAACATATAGCATATTTTAATTTGTGGCAGATTGATGCAGGGCATAATGCTAAGCAATCCTACTTGCTTGTGCTGTCTCTTTGGTCAGAGTAATGTCCTGAAGCTGAAAAAAGGTGGAGACTTTGCATAGTTTATTCACCCCCAAATGCTGACCTTCCAGTGAGCAGCTCTTCTCTCTTGCTATTTGAATTTGTATGGTTCCATTCTCAAACTCATATTTCAGATTCTGTTTGACATTGATGGCTTTTTAATCCTGAAGTTCAGGAAAAGATTTCTTTTTCCAGTATTTTGTAATAATTTTATTAATATATCCTGCAATTTGTGGCGTGCTCTCTCCCTTTCTTTAAAGAGTTTTCTGGCACCATGGAGCCACCTTTTCTGATATGCAGCAGCTATGTGACAGTATGCAGCTGTAGCAGCATCAGCTGGTTTCATAAAGATAAGGAAGTCTTAACTTGTTCAATGATGCTCTTCTGAGTACAATTCTGGTTAAATTAAGTCACAAGGGATCTTTAGATGAGGTTAGTAAGATTTAACTATGGTTTGTGTAGATCTGAAAGCTTGAGAAATTGTTTTATAGCTGGTGCAGCTTGCCCTGATAACTCCATCTGTGGGTCTGCAGAGCTTGGGGGTCAGACTCGAAGTAAGGGCATGTGTTTAACTTCATTCTAGAGAAACTCGGAAATCAGAATAAATGAGGAAAAAAAGATGGGAGCTGAAGGGCCAGGGGGTTTCATCTCGGAAAGTGGTTTATTACTTATTGCTTACCTAAGGCAAATGGTCTGGGGGCTTCTTGCTGGTTTTAATACACTTCACAATGGGGAGAAAGGAGTGCTCTGTGCTGGTGGGTTTTGTAAGCAGTGTGGTAATTAAGTGCAATATGGCAATAACAACAAGCCTCTTCTGGTTGGTTGTGTTTGAAAGTATTTCCCAGATAGAGTTTCAGTTCTGGCAGTGGGCTCCAGCAAGCATCGAATGAACATGAAGGTTAAAATACAGCAGTAGAGGTATTTCCAGAAATGCTGTGTATCAGCCTTAGAAATGTGTGATGCATGATTTGTTCCTACACACCACCAGTACAGTTCCTTTGCAAGGTAGGTTTTGTTTTCAGCCATGATCCAAGAAGACTGCTCTGTACATCAGCTCAGCTTTCATCTGCAGATTAGTTTTATTGCTTGGTACAGTTTTCATTATGCATATTGAAGTTGGTTGCATAAATTAAGATCACACGGAAAATATAACTTAATTTTTTGTGTGTTTTCTGATTGCCTTTGCAGTTGATGAAGGTCGTGTGAAGGAGCTGGGCAGAGTGAGGGTACTTCACAAGAGAACCGTGATGCCTTACAGCGTGTATAAGGAAAGAAGGAAGGGGCCAAGTGATGAAGCCAGCGTTCAGCAGTATGCCAGCTTGGTTGGACAGGCCTGTTCAGAGAGGATGTTGTTGTTCAGAAGTTGAAGGATCATTAAATGGCATTTGGATGGCACTACGTTTTCTTGCACTGCCACTGGATGATATGTACTGTAGTTGTGTGTGGGTATGCCTCTCAAATAGCAGTATACAGGTATATATCTAGGTTTGTGTGAATACATGGTACTGTGTTTAAAGGCCAACTCCAATAAAACTTACAATACAACAAGGCTTGAGCAATATAGGTTTAGAAAAACATGCTTGCAATATATTTTAATTAAGTAGTCCTAGCCTTTCTATGCATTTTGAATAATTCAAAGCATCTAAGCAAAATGAAAAACAGGTGTCTTTTTTTTGTAGAGACAAAGGTTTGACTAAATCTAGAATAACAATAATTAAATGACAAATGTTTTTAAATAGCACCTTGGATATCTGTCATTAAAAATTGCCATGACATTTGTGCTCTCATTAGTATGCTCCTAAAACTCTTGCAAGGGAATTGAAATGTGCTGTTACTTTCTAAATCTGGCACGGTTTAGTTTTATTTTGATAATATCTATAAGAACAGGAAGAAATTATTTTCACTGCACATTCTTCAGTTGTTTAAAGCAGTAGGTTAGTGTCTGAGGTCCGAGTGAATGTAGGAGTTGGTAGCAGATTCTCAGTGGCAGGGGATGCAGTGCTTTGGAAAATTTACCCCTTTAGAGATGAGACAGAATAGTTGCACTATGAATATACCAAAGATGCACAGCCGAGTGGCACGGTGGGTTTTTGGTATAAGCCTTATCCTTCATCTCAAAAGAGTGGATTCTTAACGCACATCACTAACGTCACACAGAGCTTGGGAGGTTTGTCCTGTGGTTCTTCAGTGAGCATTTCAGAACTGTGCTGAAAAAAAAAGACATGAGGTACCACTGCTGCGTTTTGTGGCAATTTTTTTCCTGCAGAATTGTATGGGAAGAGTTAAATACCATATTCCTGTGCTTTTACTGACTTGTTTATGCTGCAGCAGCTCACGGGTTAACGTCTCTAAGAACATTTCAGTAAATACTTCTGTTGGAAACACAGGAAATTGTGATGCTTAATGAAAGCACTTTATTATCTGATCTATGAACGTTGTCATGAGTAGTCTGTGTCCCTGCCACGTCACATCAGTAATGTGAATTTTGGGAAGTAACACTGTTATGTAAGTCAGTCATGTATTACAACATCGTAACTAGACTGGTGCATTTGTGTTTCTTATCTTCTTGGGTAACAGGAGCTGGTATTTACCTTGAATCAACTTGACATTTCCTGGTAACTTCTGAAGAAAAATCCTTGCTCAACACTATCCATGTAGGTGTTTTTCTCCAGAAAGGAACCAATTTCAATTTTACCCCTGAGGTTATCATTCCTGGGCTTGACTTAGGTTTAAACTCTTGGCCTATAATATTAACCATTGATTTTTATGTGGAACAGACGTAAGAATTTTGGAATTCAAGTGCATTGCAGCTTTAACTTTTTTCCCATATCTGTTTTATCAGTGTTATACATGTTTATCTGTTGCCTGGCACAGAGAACTTTCTGTATACTGGGCAATCTAGTTTGTCCATGTCTTATCTAAACCTATTGCCACGGGAGAATCACTAAATCCTATTTAGGAATATTATTATAAAGAATTATTTTCTGTGGAGGAAATACTCTTGCCACCCAGTGAAACATCCAATAACATATGCCATTTTCTGCCTACACAATGTGTTGAAAAGTGGTGATGCCCATACAGTTTAAAATCAAAATAAATGAGAAAACCTTTTAATATGATATAAAATCAGTTTAATGGGCACAGAGGAATTCCAGTGTGACTTGCAAAATCTTAATGATTATCAAAACCATTTAATGATGCTCCTGGAGAAGTTAAATTTTCTGCTAAATTGCAAGGGAGCAGATTTAACATCACCACTGAGAGTTCTTGAAGAGCTCCATCTGTTTGTGCCCACTATGTGTTACTGATATGCCTTTGAGATAGGTATGAGACTTTATCTGATGCTCTGTTTCTCTTGAGGAGCTTTGAGGGACTGCAGTTAAAGAGAGGTGAGATAAGTATACACCTGAAAATTGAGTACAACTTCTTAGTGTGACCACTGGAGGTAAATGACCATTTCCTGTGAGTTCTGAAATGGTGCTTTTGCTTTCTGACCTCCACTGGAACTGCAGCACCACAGCATGCTGGGCTTCTGACTCTTCCTCAACTCAAGTAGAGATACATATTTAAAAAAAAAAAAGTCAACACTGAGATTAACTCAAAACTTGAGTTGTTCTGATGTGGCATGCTGAGATCTGACTCACTGCTTTCGTGTTATTTTAGAAGGAAATCAGTATTTCTCAGGACTGATACCTCCATCCCTGTTTTAAAAGTGGAATAGAGTCTGAGGATGGAGCTTGGTAAATTTTGCCACTGACCTCAGTGGAACTGAAAATTCACCACTATTGCAATTGTATTTAATAAGATGTTGTCATTGAGAATTCTTGAATTTTGAGATATTTTGTTTAGTACAAACTATTTAATTATTTTCATCTAGTTAGCTTGTGAGTCAGTCCCTGAAGTAAGGTTGCCTTGTTCTATCATCTGTTGATAAATGAGCATAAAACGGTGGTAAGAAAATGCAGAGCTGTGACCAGTGCTATAAAATATGGTTCTTTGTTCTAATTGGAAATAGATGGGGATCTTACTCATTTCCAGCATCAGCAATTTCAGTAAATGCAAAAGAACCCGCATGTTGAGTTTGTAATTGCTTTTCAGCAGGCCTGTTTGACTTGTAAGTGTAGAAAATAAAGTTATTTCTAGTCTCTGTGAGTTATGGTAAAGAAGTAATAGCTCTGAGTGTGACTTTTTCTTACTTTGTAGGATTTCATCATCCTGAAAGCTAGGTCTCCAGTGAACAGCAAACTCAGGGAAGTCAGAGAGTAGCAGAGCTCAGAAGAGTTTACTTGTCAGTTCAAAACACATATCTGTTTTTGTTCTAGCTAGACAGATTAATAAAGAGTTTATACTTTGAAACAAAATTTATAATTCTTTTGTGAATAAAATAAAGATGTTTTTCACTAATGGAGACTGGATAGGACTAGCTACTTATTTTAGCTGGGCTATACCTTTCCTAGTTGGTTGAAAAAAACCTTTTCTCTGAAGTAAGCAGCCAAGCAAGCAACATGGAAAACTGGATTATGCACCCAAGTATAACTGATCTGTGTTCCTGGTGAGTGGAGCAGAATTCCAGCTAATTCTGGATTCATGAATGAGCCTTTTATTGAAGCCTACTGCCATCATGGCTCAAAATTTTGGTGTGCCAAGGCTTGTGGTGGCCCAGTGCACAAGGCTCTGTCCTTCAGGTTATACTTCCTTGAGAGCTTTTGTTTGTTCTGTTTGACTGCTCTTTTGGCATCTACATCCCTCACTCATTCTGAATTGTGTTAATATCTTTGCCAGGTGATCATTCTGAAGCTACCAGCTCAGTCACTCCTCTTGTTCTGGTTGTCCCAGATACCTTCAAACATGTATTACATGGCTGATGAGGGGAACATTCCATCTCCACTCTCCCCCCCAAGCTTTAATGGCTCTTGCTCATTCTGTCCTGCTATGGGAAGAGTCTGCATTGGGAAGGATGTAGACAGTATTTAGGGCAGAAATCATCACCACATTTCAGGGAGATCATCAGTGTTGCCAGAAGCATCATAGCCACATATTGTACCCAAAATATTTATGAAAATGCACCTTCAGAGCCTCTTGCATATGGTCTCACATGCTGAGCATAAAAAAAAGCCAGATTTTGTTTCCAGTTGCCAAGTTATCTGTTTGGTTAAGTTAACTGGAGTGATGGGGAGTTTTGAGTCATGGCTCTAGCTGTCCACAGGAGCCCAGGGTGGTGAGCTGTGGGCCTCGGTCAGGCTTGAGCATCAGCTGTGGAAAGTGCTGCTGAGGACACCAAGGAAGGGTTGGTGAGGACCCTGAATGACAGAGGGGAACTGAAGGTGGCTGCTGGCTAGAGGAGCATTAGCAGGTAAGTAGCCATGGGATTGCCTTTAGTTATGAGACATTAGCCCCACTGGGAAAACACCATTTACACATGGTGTTAACCATGCACGTTAACCACAGCTGGTAACAAAAGGCATACACCAACTAGATTGAGTAGAATAAGTTCATTTGGTAGGAGTTTTTATTGGAAAGCATCACGATTTAAGTCACCAACTATACAAACACTGACTAAACAGAACATTTTGTGGGTAGAACAAATATGTTGCAGAAGCAAAAATGCATTTCCAGAAACAGATGTACAATGATAACTCCTGCTAAACATAGTATCCAGGTGCTAGTCGTGGTCAGTGGATTCCTAAATAAAATAGTATTCTATAATTTATTCTACTGTATGCATTGTGTGGCATGTTTTAAGTTCATCTTGTGAGAGATTTGTTTTCTAACAGTATTAAATAGGAATATAAATAGATTAAATTAACATATAAAGTATAGCTTATGTTATTGCTATTTATATTAATACAAAACAGTCCTAAATCTGAAAACAGTGGCTCTTGCTGATCATCTTAAGACAAGTAATAGCTCAGCAGCTTTCTGGCTGCATCTCTTCATGGTTATGTTTTAGTTTTGATGTTTATTCATTTCCTTATTATAAGTATTCCCATCAGATTTTTGTGCTTCCCATCAGTTATTTCCACTTCAGTTTTGACACATAATACATGTGTCTGCCAAAAGTCCTGCTGAGAGATTGCTATCAGGACAAAAGAAAGCGTTAGAAAGTCTGTTAAGTAGTGAGAAGAGAGCAGAATCCACAGGGACAGTCAGTCTGCAACCTTTGTGCTGCAGAAAAAGCAGGATTTATTTACAATTTAGTCTGCTGCAGGCTTGAAAAGAAATGTGTCGGATTTCATTCATTTCCCTTTGTCTGTGACATCTGATTGTCATTGCCCAGGAAGAATCAATGGGGCATTGTGGTATATTTTTTTTAAAAGAATAAAATGTTAAGGTCACTGTACTGTATTTATGGCAAAAAAAGCTTGGT